GTGCTCTCCTTGAAAGAACGATCGTCTCCACTTTGGCTGTGCCTGACCCTGTTTCCATGTGCAGGGCTGGCTAGGCCTTTTCCTTATCCCTTCAACTGGCTTTAAGCAGTGCATATTGGTCTAGCCAAGGTGCTGGTGGTAGTCTTTGAAGACGGCATGCGTGTTTCCCCCATAACCCCTGCCTGCTGCTGTTTAATATGAGCCTGGTTGGGACAGGATGAAGAGCCAGTGCTCCATGCTCTTGGCTGGGATCGAGACTCAGGATAGAGGCTATGACTTCCTGGGTCTTAAAAGATTACACATCAGAGCTGAAGTACCAGACCCTGAACCATTAGGTACCCCAAAACTATCTCAATTGTGTAATGCAGGTTACTCTCTGCATATTGCAGAGGTAAATGCAGGCCTCCTACCCAGCCCAGCTCTCAGTACTCACCTACTTCCTGCCATTCTCAATCACTCATCCTCAAGCCGCTCCTCCTTTATGACTGAATAAAACTCGAGTTCAGCTCTGAGTTGAGGCCTTTGTCCCAGATAGCCATTACGATGACTGGACTTAGGACCCCTTGGCTCCCCATAGAGATAAATATGCTTTAGTGTCTTTTTTCTCCCTGTGGATTGCACTAGAAGTAGTACATTAGAATTAACTTGACAGGATTCCAATAACCTATCCCTGGGATTATAAATATAACTTCCAGGACTGAGATAAAGACCATGAAAAGCTTTCTATAGGGACTGCACTATGCATAGAAACCTGGCTGTGTTTTTGTCTAGTGGTGGTTTGACCTCAGGAAATCCCCTCACAGTTTCTGGGCCCCAGTTTCCTCTGTGATTCTCCAGTAATAATTATGATGGATCAGCTCAGCTGGAGCTAAAAGCTTCTTTTGGAACAGAATTCTCCTGGAGCAGGAGAATAAGTTTCAAGTGGTGTTACAGGAATTACCTGGCACAGGAGGCTTAGAATGGACTGGAGAGCAAGAAATCAGGAGGAAGCAAGACCATGACAGAAGTTGGTGCCACAACCCTGAGCCTGCTACAGGAAATGGACAGGAAGGGACCCATCTCAGACACCTCTGAAGAAACTGAGTGGCAAGGGCTGGGTGTAAAGCAGGTATCCATGGGAAAGACGGAAATGCCTTTTTTTTATTTTTAGCACTGAGACGTTCTGAGTCAAAGATGACTCAGGCTTTGGGCCGGGACAGTTGGCAGATGATGGCGCCTGCCATAGGAGAGGGGGTGCAGCTTAGCAGAGGTGGCCATGTGTTGGATGGGTCAAGTTGGGCGTTTGTCCAGACATTAGGTAGACACACAGAGCACGCAGTAGGGGTTTCATCTATGAGGAGTGAATACTGAGCTCAGAGGATTTTACAGCCTTCACAGGGGCATGGGAATATTCTCACCACTCCCACTCTCTTTAAAGTGAAGAAGCTGATGTCCTCTGTGGTAGGGTCAGGGTGCTGTGATGGTCATTCTGGGGTTTGCCTGAGGTTGAGCTCAGAGCTGTGTTTACTGGTAGGGTGAGCAACAAATGTCACTTTCATGAGCAGGGTGAGGTGGTGGCACTTTAATCTCAGTGCCTAGGAGGCTGAAGTAGGAGGGATCGCTATGAGTTTGAGTCCTACCTGGCTGGGCTCCATCGTGAGTTCAAGGTCTGCCTGGACTGTAAAGTGAGACCCTGTCTCAAAGCCAAAAAAAGAAAAATAAAAAGAAGGCCATTCTTGATACAGCCAGGCATGCAAGCCCATGCCCACAATTCCAGCTACTCAGGAGGCTGAGACTTGAAGATAGCTTATTCAAGGCCAGCCTGGGAAATGTGGTAAGACCTCATCTCAGAAAGAAAACAGTAAGGGTGACCAAATAACTCAGTGGATTAAAGCATCTGCAAGCAGGCACAGAGGCCGGGGGTTCAATCTCCAGGCCTGCTGGCCCCACCCCCAGGATATGCTGAGACAGCAATTGAGACTGGGTGTGGTGGCACATGCCTGTAATCCAAGCTCTTGGGAGGCTGTAAACAGGCGGATCACTAACTAGTCCGATCTAGTAATGAGATCCTGAACACCCTACAGACCCTTCCCTAAAAAACACACACACACACACACACACACACACACACACACACACACACACACACAAAGGAAGGAAGAAAACAGCAAGAGCAGAGGTTAAAACAGAATGCAACTTGAGGCCACTCATCAAGGAAATCAAGGGCTGTGTGAAATTCAGCAATTAGGGCAAAGTTTTGTTTCCATGTAATATCTTCTTTTATACAGCCATAACTTCCTTCTATAGAAATTTTAACATACCCAAATGTAACACTAGCAAATGCAACTCACTAGGGGATGAATAAATGCAGACTGTTCCAGCCACTTAGGAAGGCACAGCAGGAATTCCTTTAAAGTTAAGCCTGATCTCCTTTCCCTGCTTCTGTCTACTCCAGTAAGATCAAGGAGATTCTCTTGCCCCCTTCCAGTGAATTATGCTGTAACAGACACAGAGAAAAAGGAGCCTTTGCTTTAGGGGCCTTCTTGTCTCATCACAGAAGCCTGACACAGATGCAAAGACCCGTTATGTACATGTAACACATTCTAATGGAGAATGTAATGTGTAATGTACTGTGAATGTGTACTAATAAAAAAATGGAAACAATAAGCAATGAGTACAATTGCAAGGCACCATGGGTACTAAACTAACAAATGGGGACCAGGTTTCAAGAAGACAGAACTAGAAGTGAGTCTGAAAGCCTCAGCAGCAGGGGAGCAGCACACCTCCAGGCAACCTCAGGCCCCTGGGGGTATTAGAAAATCTCTGTTCACTGTCTGTAAACTTTTCACATCTCTCTTATACTTGATAACGTTCTTACTTTTATTAGGACAAATAGGCCTGGGTCTCACAGACTTCCACAAGCTGTGGCATCTAGTTGGAGTTCTTTTTAAAAAATCTTTCTTTCTTTGTTTTTTTTATTTGGTATGGGGGTATCACTATGCAGCTTAGACCTGTAGTGATCCTCCTATCTCGATCCCCCTAGCACTGAGATTATAGGCGTGCACCACCTTGCCCAGTTTTGGTGGCCAGCATGGTGGGCCCAGGGTTCCAGGCCCAGCACAGCAAGTAGTACCAGGGATTAAACCCAGGTCCTTGTGCTTGCCAGGCAGGTGCTTAGACAGCCGAGCTATCTCCCCAGCCCTTCTAGTTGGAATTTTAAACACACCATGTTCTCACTGTTCTTATTCTTAGGATTAGTTTACAAGTTCCATGTAAGGTAATGTTCAAGCATTTCTGATGAGGGACAAAATAACACTGAATAGGTTTAATGGTGCTTGAAAATAGGGAGATATTAGTTCAGAAACTCAGGATGGACCAGGGATATAGCTCAGTGGCATAAGTGCCTGCTTGGCAAATGCAAGGTCCTGAGTTTCATTCTTGGTACAAAAAAAGAAAAAAAAAGTAAAAGAAAAACAGTAAAAGACACAGGATGCTTCCCCAAAGCATAAGTATGAGGACAGTGAAAATAGGTTGGGTCAGTTTGATCTCAATTAGAAACAGCATCCCACAATATCATTTTGATCATGGAAGGGCAAGCAAGGAAAACTGAGGAAGAAGTATGTGTCAGACCCCTGGAGGGACACTTTCACTGGAAACCTGGTGGGGTGAAGAGTGTGAAAGAAGGAATGGTGAACCGCAGTGGGGAATGCGGGGCTTCTCCCCACGTGACTGTCTCACACTGGCTGTGACAGCGAAGAAGATTCAGCCTTGAGGCAGAGCAGTTCTCAGAGTGCCGCCTTCTGCCTTCCTCCCTCTGCCACCACTGTCACAGCTGGAAAAGCCCCAGGCTCTGCCCTGCTGCAGACCCAGGTGGAGTGATTGCTTCCATTGTTCTTTCTGCCTTTGTCACAAAAGGGTGACCCACAGAGGCAGCAGCTTCATTTTAAAGGCACATTTGTTTCAATATGCAGTTGATTTTAAAAAAAAGTCCAAGGGAGAAAGTAGTGAAAGCCTATGTCAAACCTCTGTGCTCCTTAACCATTGTCTGCTCCAACCACCCATTCTCCACTCTCCTCTGTCCCTCCAGATGTCCTGGAGCTGTTGGAGTCACACTGAGGGGTCTCCTGTGCTCTGGCTTCTGGCTGAGATCACCCACGGGAAGCACAAGCCAAGAGGGAGGGAGGGAAGAGAGGTCTGAGCATCCACACCCCAGCCCTTCCCCGCAGGACTGCAGGGCTGGCCGTGACGCAGCTGCAGGCCCACAGCCCCTGTGCACCCAGACCTGGGTGCACCCTCCCCTCTTCTGCCTGGCCCAGGGGAATGGCAGCCCCTATCGCCACTTCTCCCAGGAACTACACTATCCTTTGTGTCTCCCCACAGAGGACTATTGTAGAGTTCTTTTGTTAAATTCTCCTCGAGTTGCCCAATGTGAGCTCACTATCTGGATTTTTGTTTGTTTTGCTTCCCCTACCACCCCCTGGATTGTGGCCACTGCAAGTCACTTACAAAGATCAAAGTTGGGGAAATACTGACCCAGAGAAAATCCTGAGAGATCCCTGGGGCCCTCCAAAACTGCCAGATCCAGAGGAGGCCGTGGTTAGGCACGATGAGTGCTACCATCTTCCTCCCCTCCCTCTATACCTCTCTTGTTCCAAGCATTGCTTTTTTCAATTGCTATTTTGATACAGAAAAAGTCAGCACCTGCCATTTTCTCCAATCTCATAGACTATAAATCATTTTCCAGTGTAACAGAATTCCACACCAGTAAAACAATGAAAAGATTCAGATATTCCATGATGTTTTATTTTTTAACGTCATTTTTTTCCTCTGTATAGGTTTCCACCGAATAGTAAGTACAGAGACCAAGGCACGAGGCAACTGCAGTTACGTAGGCATAGGGAAGTGAAAATAGTATCTACGTAAAGCTTTCAGATTCGCAATGGAGAGTGAGTTCTATCAAGTGAATCATCTTCCCCTTCTGTGGAACTAATTATGAGAAAAATAACGAAGAATTTGAACTTCTTCCTTGGTGATAATGGTCCAACATATCTTGCACATACACACACACCTCAGAAAACCCAAGGAGATGTGTTCTGCCCAAGCTTATACGTCAGGCGCAGGATGCTTTCCAGTTATGAGCTACAGACCTACATTCTTGTAAGCTCACTGGCTCAGGTAAGCAGACTGTCTTTTGGCTGCAAGAAAAGAGCAACAAGAGGCAGGTTGGTCAGGGGAGATGGCTGGAAACTGTATGGCTCTTGGGTTCCTGAGAAGCCTAATGAAGAGTCTACGCTCAGCTACAATTGAGCTGAGTTCTGTTCTCTAAGTGCCGGAGGTGGAGGCAAGGGAAAGAGGACCTGGAGTCTAGGCCCATCCCCAAGAACACAGCCAGGGGCACATTTGAAACGGAAGCTAAGGAAGAGAAGCTGTGCAATAGGGATGTGATGTTCTGATAAATTCTCACATAGAGACCAAATATAGAAGGCAGGTGGAAGAGAGGTTCTTATGCTGAAGTAGGAAAGGGGAATTGAAGCCTATCCTCTGCTTCCTAACATGTCCAACCCAAGATGGCCCCACAGGAGATTTGGGAAAATCCTGGTCCCATTTTGGCTTCTAAGATGGGAATTACTGTGATGGGACTGAACTTCATCAAGCAACACACCTAGGGTCAGGGCTGCTGGTGGTGCTGGTGCATGTGTGCCTCTTGGGAAGAGCGGGCTACTGGCTTACTTGTCATTGACAGGCAGAGGGGCTGTGCAGAACTTCCCAGCAATGGTAGTCCTGTCTCTTCTCCAAACTTGACAGGAAGCCTGAAGCTTGAATTTCACTTGGTTTATCTGGCATGGTGGGTTGGGGTGGGCGATGACTGCTTTCCCCTGGAGTTGTTGTCTAGCTCTGAAGGGAAAGAGAAAAGGAAAGTTCGGGGCACTTTCTGTTTCACTTTCCTTTGGCTCTGGCTGCCCTGCACCACCAGCTGGCTCCTGGAAGGCGGGGACCCTGATGTTTTGCATCACCCTTCCTCACCCTTCTGTGCACTTGACCCTGTTTTGAACATGACCGCGGAAAACCTCACTGAGTTTTGAAAGTAAACAAGTGAACACTGCAGCAAAAATAGTGGTTCTTAAATTTCAGATATGGAAAAGATGGCCTTCCCTCTTGGATTCCTAGGTGGAGGACATCTTCACTTTTAGGTCCAAGTTTCTGGAAATAGAAACTCTTTTTAAGACCTCTCAGTTCAAAGAATTGAACATGAGGCTAGTTTGCTTTAGAGTAGGTATGAAAATGCATAGAAAAACAATAATACTGAAATAAATCTTGAAGCATGACGGAGCTGGGATGGAACCCAGCTTTTGTCTCTTCCCAGATACGTGGCTTTGGGTAAATCCTCTAGTGTAAGGTGGGCATGGAGTCACATAGCACTAGGTATGTAAACATCGCTTCCCTACATTCTGCTATGGTCTTCATCTTGGATCACAGGGTTTTTGGTACCAGTGGACTTCAGCCCAGGAGACCCAGAGTAAAAATAGAATCCACGTCTCCCTTAACTCATACTCTTGGTCTTGGTCTCTGTTTCCCCACTACTGTGCAAGATTCAGGTCCCACTGTAGACCTGAACCCAAGAATGAGGATGGCAACCAAGATCAAAGTGAGGCAAAAGGGGGGAGAAATATGGGGTGACCAACCTAGTCTAGTGCATCACAAAGGATAGTGGGGCAGGGTTGGGGCTAACAAAGGGAAAAAATGGTGAGACCCAAGTGTGAAGGAACAGGCCCCTGTGACAACAGTTGCCCATCTGGGAACAAGGGTGGGGTGGGATTAGCACCCTGCACTGCACGGTTGGCAGGCACTTGCCTCCGGGCCCTGGTCTGTCCACTGCTGAGTCCTTTCCTGTTTCTCCCTGGGTGCTGAGAGAGAGGGAGAAGAGGGCCTCCTTGGCCTCTCCTCCAACACACCACAAGAAGGGGAGCCCTCCTCAACAGCCCAGTTTCTCTTTCCTTTCTGGCTGTTGCAGCATGATGACATTTCCTTTGGTGTGTGTTCAGCACTAAGTTTGTTTTGTTCTTTGGTGGGAAGATCTTGTGTAACTGTTTAAAAGCTGTTCCTTCCCTTCTCTGACCCAGAAATGTTTTGAAATGTGTCAGAAAAAAAAAAATAACATTGTTCTCTTTAAGAAATTTCTTAGAGGAACTCATAAAACATTAAGAATATACAAGATGCTTTGTGGGAATGGTTTGGGGATTTGGCCCAGGTAACCTCTCCAGTTAGAAGGAAATGGTGGTGCAGACCTGTGATCCCAGCATTCAGAAGGTGGAGGTGGGTGGGAGTATTGTGTATTTGAAGCCAGCTTGGGCTACACAGTAAGACCATGTCCCAAGAATAAACAAAAGAAAAGGGAAATGTTTGGGGCCACACAAAGTTACGGAAAGGAGGGGAAATACCACATTTTGCCCCCAGAGTTCCTCTCCCTGATTTCTGATCTTCAAGATCAACAACGTCAAGGAATTGAAGTAGTAGCTAAGTGTCCTGGTGGCTTCAGGAGTCATGTAAATGCCTCTGAAGAGAGCAGCAGCCACCTGGGGGGTGTCCTAGAATCACCCAGAGACTCCTTTGCAGTCAGTCTGGGCTGGGAGCTTGGTGACAGTATCTGTAAAGCTCTCCAGGCAATGTGAATGTGCAGCCAGAGTTGCGTGTCACTGTCACCACTCCTGCCAGTGTCAACTGTTCTAAGATGGTGTAGAGGAGAGGAAAACCCCCTGTTAGTAGTGTGGCCTTGAATGGATTGCAAAGAGCTGCTAAAGTACTGATTCCCCAGCGTAATCTGAAAGACCCAGCAGGCAGCTGCAGATACAAGTGGACTTGCTGGCTGCTGTACCTGGCAGCGTGATTTTGGGTGACTCCGCAGGAGCCCCAGGCATCTGGCAGCCTACATGGCTCTGAAATGTTTGTAGACCCAGGCTGACTTGATCATTCTGTTTGAAACTTGCAACAACTCTCCAAAACTGCTCTCTGGACAAACCCCCACCTTAGTCTGTCCTTCGCAGTGGATCAGGATCGGCCTCTCCAGCTTCTTGCCCGTTGACCTCCCCCCTCTCGCCCTCTGCTCTCTACTGCAGGCACGTGGTGTGTCATATGCATGAACTTTAGGCCTGTGTCACTCTTGTCTCTACTCATCACATCCCCGAGTGGCTTGGCTCTGTCTTATATGCTGTCACAGCATTTGTCACTGTTGACAAGGGTACACAGAGACATGTGCATGGCCTGGTCATTTCTCTATTGCCAGCATGTGCCCTTGTGGTGTGACCCAGGCTGCACACTCAGGTGGGTGGCTGCCCTGGGCAGGGATTCTGGTGGGGCTGCATTGCCAGTGTGGTCTCAGCTCCCACCGGGCAGCGTCCACCCCAGGGCTCTGCCCTCAGCACTCCTGCTTTGCCCCACTGGCTGCCTCTGGTGTTTCTACTGTTCTGCCTTCCTTCAGTTTCTCAGCACTCCTGATGCATTTGGCACCCATGCATTGTGCGAAATCGCTTCCCACAATCTACCTTGCACACACCCTATTTTCCTGGATTCTGACCAAGACAGTAATGTTAGCTGACCAGTCTGTTTTCTGCTAGCTTGTAACTTGGCCAATTGCTTTTAAAAGGACCATACACCATTGCCACTGACTTTTCATCTCCTACCAGGCTTGTGGCTCCTGACATTTGAGGTTCTTTGCATTCTCACATCAAGCCTGACCCCACCAAGCCCAGATCTGAGTCTTCCCCCAGAAGGGAAGAAAGCAAGCAGCCACACTTCCAGACACCAGTAGCACTGAGCACCAAGCCCTTCTGGTCACAAATCTGGCCCTCACCTTGCACTTCTTTGCTGACTGAAGCCTCATCTTGGATTCTGTTCTGTTCTGCCTTCCCAGCAGTAGTGCTCCCCAGACTCTGGTCAGCCTTGCAGGGGCCTTTTACCTGCTGGCATCCCTGGCCTACCCTTGCCTAGGTTCCTGGGCACCATTCCCAACCTGGGACCTGATTGTTCTCTCCTTCCCACTTGCCTGGATGTGCTTGCCTTGTCTGCTGTCATCTCAGCACCCTGTGCTTGGGCTCTGCGCTGACCTCAGACATGAGACACTTGGCCTGGTGTGTGTCCAAGCCTGGCTCCATGGTGGGCACAGCCCAGCCCAGGCAGCCAGGCCCAGCCATTAGCAGAGATGCAGTGCCTTCACTGGCATGGCTGGGCCAGGGCACATATGTAAGTATGGAAAATGCAAAGACATTCCCGGAGAAGAGAGCAGCCACACGGGACAGTTACGCACATGGTGATCTTGACCGAGGAGGTGGCGTTACTGCTCACAAAGTCAATCTCAATACTGGTGTCTTTTGTTCTGGGCTTCTGTAGATGAAACTCCACAAGGCTGTGATGCACTAGAAAACCAAACACAGCAGAGACAGGGCTGGAGCAGAGATCAGCAAGCCGGAAGCCTCATCCTGGCTCTACTCTCTGGTGGCCTGTACCCTGAGGAAATCATATACTGTCTCAGAGCCTCAGTTTCTCAAGGGAATGGTGGGGTAACCAGATAGATACAACCAGATCAGACTGGGAAGAAAGAGGGCTAAAGAGGCTCTCTGGACAGTGCTGGTGCCCAGGAAACATTAGGGCTCTATTTATTATTTGTAATGCTGGAACATTTCACTCTTCTCTGTCTCATGACCTTGCGTGGTGATGTGGTCTTCAAAAAGCCCAGAAGGATCCAGCACATATTACTATTGTGTGAATGTTTCCAAATGTCATGCTTATTTTATTTATTTATTTTCTTTTTGGTGGAACCGGGGATTGAACTCAGGCTCTTGAGCTTACCAGGGAAGTGCTTATTCCACTGAACCATCTCCCTGGCCCCCAGATGTCATGTTTAAATTCAATCCTCAGTGCAACAGTTCTAAGACCTAGGGATCTTGGGGAAGGGACTAAGTCAGAGCCTTCATAAATAGATTATAATTTATGAAAAAGCCCCATGGAATCATCTGGAGCTCTTTTTGTCTTTCTGCCATCTGAGGACAATGTGACCCAGCAACGAGGGCCAGCCTGAAGCAAACAGAACAGCCTCATAGGCCCCAGGTACCAGCACCTTGACCTTGGACTTTCCAGTCTCCGTGACTGTAAGAAAACACATTTCAGCTCTTTATAAGTTACTCACCATCCAGTATTTTGTTATAGTAGCACAAGCACACCAAGACATACACAAAATAATTAACTCACAGAAGGTACCCCCCACCGCCTATGTACAGTGTTAGGAGCTAGTTTCCTCCCGGGCCAGCGGATTGCCTGTGTGGCCTCTGGATTGTCCCCTGGCCAGCATGATGCTGACCTCCCCCAGTGAGTCTCCACAAAGAGGGTGAACAGCCTGGTTCATGGTGACTCCCCTGGGACCTGCTGAACCTCTGGCTAGAGAGGCAAAGAAAGCTGGTCATGGGGGTACGTGCCTGTAACCCCACATTCTGGAAAGCTGAGCCAAGAGGACTGCAAGTTCAAGAACAGTCTGGGCAACTTAATGACTTAGTGAGGCCCTGTCCCAAAAATATAAAACAGTCTAGGGATATAGCTCAGTGTGAAGACCCTGGGTTCAGTCCCTGGTGTAGAAGGCCAGGCAGGGGGCATCTTCCTTACCACCCTATTCTTTCTCCAACAAGGGGTAAGCACACCTGGTGGCATTTGGCAATAGTTTGGGTCTCTGAGCATTTTTCCAGGCTCTTTGAGTGATGGAGACATGGAGACACTTCCTCCCTATCTGTACTGTCACACTTGTCATATTTCCTGGGTGAGATCAGTAGGTACAGGTGACTCAGCCCTAAACTAGGTGAGAGCTGTGGCCCAGCTGGGCTCACTGGGGTTAGTAACAGGCTCATTGATGGGGGCCAAGATGCCAGGGACTCACAAGAAGAGAGGAGAGCCTTGTATGTGCCCTGCCCCACAGAAGAGAGCATCGAAAGTCTCTCTGCCTCCCCCTGTTCTGTCTGTCTGTCTGTCTGTTAGTCTCTCTCTCTCTCTCTCTCTCTCTCTCTCTCTCTCTCTCTCTCTCTCTCTGCTTTCCACTGTTTACTATGGGGTGTCAATTATTATGGGTTGGGCAAGGTCTAAATTGAGATAGCTACAACATGGAAAAAATGACTTTCAAAAGGCTTTAGGCATTTAAGTCTCTGGGCTGAGGTGATGTCACATTTTCCTTTACTAACATGACAAGATTGATCAAGAAATTTTCCTAAGCTTTTGCTTCTCTTTTCTCTACATTGCCCTGGAAACCTCAGAGTCAGGTTTCCTGTCACTGTGTGACAGGAAGTGGTAGTGAAATCAAATCTGCATAGGAATGTGACTCGGGTAGGGTCCTGAGTAGTTAGTGGGGAAGCCAAGGAACCAACGGCAGGCCCTTCTGCCACAAGCTGTGCCCCCATGCCTCTGTGTGTCCCAGGTTCTTTACATGAGCAAGAGCCCCAACATAGCGTTGTGGGACCTGGCCAGGATTAAATGCTAATGGAGACAAGGCACTGCGTGAGCAGGTGTTCCTCAAGAGAAAAGTAACACTGTACATATGCCTTATTTGGTGGGAGATCTGCCCATGCCTGGGCAATCAAGGGTGACCACTGTCCACATGAGCATTGCCAAGCTCAACGTGGGCTGAGTGTCCACAGGAGAGGCAGCGCCACCACCAGCTGTCTGCCCACCTGAGTGCACCCAGGGAGGTGGCCTGGGAGGGGAGCCAGCTGGTACCTAGGGTGGGGGGCTATGGCATGGGCAAGCAGTTCCCTCCCCTCTAAGGTTTCTGAGCCAGTAGGACCCTGTTTCCAGGGTGCAGAGAGGAGGCCTCGGGACAAGCACAAAACAGAAAAATCTTGGCTCTGTGACTCTCCCTTCCCGGAGACCTCAGAGTGCTTGTTCCCCCACAGCATGCCACGCTGCCTGTCCTGTGTGCTCAAGAAGGAGCCAGCTCAGGTCGCAGGCTGGGATGGTGGTCCCTCTGTGCCACCTCCACCTCCACACCACAACCACCCTGTGCTGTCTCCAACAGAGGATGCTAGCAGGACAGTGGGCACAGAACACAGCCTGTGGCAGCAGGCTATCAGGAGCAGAGCCAAGGGCAGTGGTACATGCCTATAATCCCAGCCTCCTGGGGGGCTGAGGCAGGAGGAACCCAAGTTGGAGCCACACCTGGGCAACTTAATGACTTAGTGAGACCCTATCTCAAAATGCAAAAGAGAGGACTGGAGATGTAGCTCAGTACAAAGGCCCTGAGTTCAATCCCCAGTATTGGAATAAATAAATAAGAGTGAGCAGAGAAGCAAGAGTGGAGGCAGGAGTCACCATGGAAAGGGCAGGGCTATTGGAGTCAGGAGGCCTGGAGCAACAGCTTAACTTCCACATAGCACCATCCTTGGGTCTGTCACTGGGCTCCCCAGAGCTTGCCTGTCCTCACCCCTCCTTCCTTCCAGATCTAGGCTGCCCCCATACCTACTCTGGACTCCAGGAAGCCTCCCATTCTTTCTGGCATGAAAGTAGAACCACCCCCACTTCTTCTAAATCCTCTGACTGACCAAAGGGAGGGAATAATTACTGACTGGGTTCCCTTTGCAGTGCCAGACTTCATGAGCACTATCTTGTCCTCACTGTGGATTCTTGTAAGTCCCTCTCATCACTCCCATTTTTCATTGAAAAGTTTAAGAAACTTAAACTTCCACAGCTGGTAAGTAGAGAAGCTGAGATTTAACTCTGTGTCTGTATGCCTGGCCATCTATTGCCTATCTAAAGACCCTCTTGTGGACTATCTCTGTCTGCCGACCTTTGTCAGCCTGAAGAAGCCAGACGGGTCGTTGCCCATTGCTACCTCACGGCAGTTCAGGGTACTTCTCCAGAGTGAGGAATGTTAGAGACAGCTAAGTTAGATAGGGAGATTATGGGCAGTCAGACAGGGCTGGGCCCTCCAAGGAGCCAGTGAACAAGATACCTTGCAACTGTGGGGAAGACAGGCACCTCTACTAGGGGCCAGACCTCAAGACAAAACATGGAAGGAAAGGACCCACATACTTACTTCCCCTAAGGATAAACATCAGGGATTGATATTCCAAATAGGTATCAATCAGATTTTTAAAAGCCAGAAAGAGGGGCTGGGGAGATGCTCAGTAGAATAAGCACTTGCCTGGCAAGCACAAAGGCCTGAGTTCAATCCCTGGTTCCAAAAAAAAAAAAAAAAAGTTAAAAAGCCAGGAAGAGCCACTGACCCACCCCCTACAGGAAGAGACCCTGTTCTGTTTCATGCCTACTTGCCACGTGACTTGCTTCCCCATTTGATCCCAATTTAATCAATATTGCTTGAGTAATTATGTTTATAAAATCTTACAGGTTGATCATAGATTTCCTCCCACTTCATACTCACCTTGTGATTTTCCATTTCCCCCACCTTAGACCTGCCTCACCTCATGGCTGTGCTCTATAACAATCCCCAGAAAAGGCAAGGTCCTTGGCAACCCACAGAGGCCCCTTGCGTTGCTCTTTCTTTCAGACGAAGCTTTCTTTCACTCTCTGTGAGACACAGAATTTCAGTTCTGGGCTTCATATTACATTGCACTGGGCTTTCAATAACAGGGAGATATAGCCACAAGGACTCCTGCACACACCTGACACAAGTTGATCAGAAAATCAGTTAAAACCCGGGGGGCCATAATCTACCATCCCCCACTAGCACCCTTGCATCCTGCACATACCACACAGTAGGCCAGAGGAGCTGGAGATGACAGGTGCAAAGCGGGAAGGACAGGCCCTCATCCACCTTAGTCAAGACACAGGTGGCCCTGGGGAGGCCCAGCTCATGACACATCTCTCAGACTCTATGACAGACTCTGCTCTCACATTTTACATCTTTTACAATGACTAGCACCTTCGCTTCAAAGCAATGCAGTGGTGGCAGCAGTGAAAGGCCGGAGAGTGCCTGTGAAGGGGAGTCGGGCACAGGTGGAGTTGCGCACTTCTCCTTGGTAATGCCAGCCCAGGGCAGCTGGGGTGGGGGACATATGTGGGTACCAAGGAGGGACAAAGAGGCATGCAGGAAAGAAGGAGCCACAGTATCTCCCACATGCCTCTGTAGGAGAGTCCCCAAGATTCCCCCAAATTCTCAATGCAGAGCCATTGCCTGGCCTGACTCTTACAGTTCTGGTGCCATCTGAGAGCTGGACCTGTCTGCCACCTCTGGGGCTACATTTTCCCCAGGCCTTCACCTCCATGTGGGCTCCCACACTGGGCTGGTAACAGCTCCAGCCAGACCCATGCACAGCTCGAACTCACCACAGTATGGGGCCTTGGAAGTGGTCTGCAGGTAGACTCTTACTTCCTTGGGAAGCGGCTCTATTTTAACACCACCTTGTTCCACCAGTCCTGGAAATAAAGAAGCAAAGAGGCCCAAGGGGGCCTGTTCAGCACCCAGCCACCTGCTGTTAACTCAGTCCCCATTCTTCTATGGGCATCTGTACTCTATGCTCATTATGGGCCATGCTCGAAGGTGAGTCCCAGGACCAAACAAAGACCCGTGGGGATAAACATACAAGCAAGCAGCAAATATGCTCTTTAGAACATATGTCCCATTTTCCACACACAATCATGAAATTTAAAATCATGCCTCTAACTTGTAAACAGTTGTTTCAGGGGCACTTGTTTCTGGGCAGTGGGGACCCAGTGAAGCAGGAAAAGTTTGACCTGAAGATTAGAGGACGACAGTTGAGAGAGGGCATCTGGGACAGAGACTAGTGAGGGCAAAGGCCCATAGGCTGAAGAAACATGATGTACACTTGGCCCTGCATGCACTGGCATTCCTGGGTGTTCAGTGTGAGGGAAGGGGAGAGAGACACAGCTGGCAGAGGATGTGAAGTGGCTGTCTCACCAGGTGGTCTGCCACGTCTGGGGGAAGCACGCCATACGCCCCTGAGTAGGGAATGAATTTGCTATGGGATTCTGCCCTTCCTTGAATGTCCTGGCAAGCTGGTGCCCATGTCGTCACATGAGCAATGACAGGCTGCTGTATTTCTGAGTGGTAGCTGGGGGGTGGTGGGAAACAGAAGTGCAGTGGAGGAGGGAGGAGCCGTCTTCACCACCCAGGCGTGTTTTCTTGAGTTTTCACCCGGGATATTCATAGGAATGATCAGCACAGGTGAATTAGAGTTCAGGTCCCTCAGCCACCCTGGAGCCCTTTCCCCAGACCAGCATGGACCATCAAGGAATGTGCCAAAGCTGCCTAGCATTTTAGGTAAATACCTAGCATTTTAGGTGCCTCCCCCATCCAGCCGGCACATGGCCGCAGGAGTGCACACCTTTATAGTGGGCAAGTGGTGCACCGCTCCGGAGAGTCCCTGTGACATAGCTGAGATGAGGAATGGTGGACCCAGCTAGCGGGACCCATGGGTACGTATGGGCCGGGGTGAGCAGAGGCTCTGGACATCCCCAGTGTTTCTAGAGAGCACCTGCAGCTGGACTTCTGGGAGAGAGGCTGAACTGAAAAGGGTGTGGGTCCAAGCAAAGATGGCCATGGGGCACAGTGTAGAGAGTGAGGGGAAGGAAAGGGACAGTGACTGCCACCCCTCATTGGGAGCAGGCTGAACAACTCATCAGTTAATTGTTCTTTTCCTCTGATGAATAGACGTCTTGACCACAGGAGACTGGAACATACAGAGGTGACAACTATCATGACTTGAACTTTCCCCAAGCTATCAAAAGGAGCAAAAGGAGTTACGTTTTACCTATCCTTGGGCAGGAAAGCATAAAAGGGTTAAAGCAATCCAGACAGTGTCCAGCCAGAAAGGCCTTGTAGTTGGCACAGGGAAAGGCCACCAAGGGACAGGAATTCTCCAGGGCACTGATGTAGAGGTGGACGGCCCTCATGTGATCACAGATCAGATAGCTGTAACCTGAGCAGGGGAAGAAAGCCACAGGCAAGGTCTCAGTCAGGATGATGGAAACTCCCTCCTGCTATTTACTGTAACTCTGCTGAACTTCAAATCCCAGAAGGTTATGAATACACTGGGTGTCCCCTACGCCATGTTTTAAAAATATTAACAGATATTGTTGCTACATTCTCCCTTCCCTTTGAAAGTTCCTGAGATTTGTAAACTCCAGGAAAAGTACTTGATTGAAGATCCACTCTGTGTGATTGTACAAAGTCTCTTTCACTAAATGGGATCCTACAGAGAGATGGGGGACTGGGGCTGCTGGCTCTATTTCAGGAGACGGTTCTCTGCTTGCACATTTTTACCTCCATCACCCACCCAGCCAATCATTTCTCTACCTCACTATGTCCAACCCAGCAATGAGTTCACTTCAGTTTGCCAATAACTGATGCAATGAGTTTACCAAATACCCTAATTTCCTTAAAAGTTGATGGTGTTGTTTTTTCACTAGTTAAAAGGATACAGTGATCAACACTGGGTGGATCGGTTGGGGTTGACAGGTAAGTCATAAGCTTCAACTCTGGGGTGCTGGGGTCTTCTGTCTTGGCACCCTCTCTCTGGGCCCAGCAAGAAGGGCTGAGCTGAGTGGTTCCTTCTTCCCTCTGTGGTAGGGACACTTTCTACAGCGGAGTTCATTCCAGTACAGGAGGAAACTGAGGCAGAGACAAACTGCACCCTCCTCAAATTACTTTATAAAGAAGATAGGAAAACTGGTCAACTAGAGTATACCATGTGTATGTTTCAAAGCCACTGGAATCAAACTATCCCACCTGACCAGAATGGCTGAACATTTTATTAAATTGTTAAAACAAGGGTATATTTGGAAAACTAGTAAATTTGGTAGAGTACACTAGTGGCTTTTCAATAAATTGTCAAATTAATCCTTAACATGTTAAGAATTTGGCAAAGCAGGAAAAATATTTTTTAAATACTAAAGAGAAATTCTCACTTAAATATTTCCACATGAAATGTGGATATACTGTTTATGCTCATAAGCAAAATATAGGAAAGCTAACAAATTTAATATTGTTTAAATTAATGCTATAGGGAAGAGAGAAAAGATATGTTTATGTATGCATGCAGAGTGGCTTGGATAATTGTACTGCTGATTTCTGCTGGTCTATAGAGGGGAGAAGTTGATGCTTAAATTTTTCTTTCTTCTTTTTTTCTTGTCCTTTTAAGTTTCTTGTAACATTTTTTCAATTTTGCATGCTGATATATGGTAATCTGAACAACTAATTTAAAGACAACATTATGCAATACAGCAACCATTGTTGAATTCTATTGATTTGATTGGTGAGCTTCTGTAGTGTTTCTAATGTTTTGGTTGTTTGTTTTTACTATTTTGTATTTTCTTTAGATAATAAAATATAAATAAGTTAATGGTATGATGAATATATTTTTTCTTTTTTATTGTACAATTTAGACATAAGTAATGACCACCTTCATCACGAGGAATTTGTTCCTGTACATGACACATCTTGCTTCTTTTCTCCCCATTCCCCTCCCCTCTCTCAATCCCTTGTCCTCTCCTTACTTACAAAAGATTTATCTCCATTTTTCCCTTTTATTCTTTTTTCTTGTTCCTTCCTTCCTTTTCCCCTCACCATTTGAACTTGTTATTCCCATTTCCCAATACCTATGAAACATTTTGGTCCTTATTTACACTTTCAATTTCTCACGCCAGAGAAATAATGCTGTATTTAAACACGCGTGTTCAATGTATTTCACTTAAGTGTGTGGTCTCAAGATGTACCCATCTAACTAGAAATGTCTCAAGTCCATCTTTCCTTATGGCAGAGTAGTACTCTGTTGTATATAAAGAAATATTTGTATACATTCATAGATGAATATATTAAAAGAAAACATCTCAGAAGAATATATTTACAAAAGAAGAAATACATATTCGCTGAATACATTCAACAAGGTTATCTTGAAGAAACTCATCAAGAGCTGACAGGTTGAGTGAGTTTAGTGGCATGGTCATGCGGTGAGCAGCCCCTTTGATTAGCTGGCGTGGGGCCCACTGGCTTGCTTCTGCCAGAGCTATGATCTGTGCAGGATGCTACTCGTGTGGGCTTTGCCATGAATCAGAGCCCAGAGATAGGCAAGAGAGCATTGCCTTGATATGCAGCCATAGCAAGACCTAATGTAAGTGGGAAGGGCAGTGCAAACAGGACCCAGGCTTCCAATATCTGGTACTCTCTGGAATGCATGGGCTCCAGAGACCCTAAGTTCTCAGGAAGGCATCACAGCACGAGCAAGGGGTGATGCTGGGAAGACCCTCTGTGGCCCACGCAGGCTGATGCAAGATGCTGGTGAATTCCAGTCAGTGGGGTAGGCAAACGCCAACTCTCTGGCTTTCTCACCTGCATAAATAAACAGGGGACAGCCCGGTTGGTCTTGGCCTCCGTTGACAAAGTAGTCCACGTGTCCGACTGGAATCCGAATACCCAAATCTGAAAGAGGAAGAGCACCACTAACGTCTTGCTCCAGGGGCCACAGGAGGCCGAGCATGAGGCCTGACTTTGGGAACCCAACCCGTAGATGGTTATTATTATAATATTATTATTATAATTATTATATTATTTACTTAATAACATCTAGGAAATGTCCCTCAATGCAGGCGTACACACATCAGTAAATGCTATAAATGTGGTTTTTGGTGGGTAGTTTGTTTTCCTGTAAGCAACAGTTTGGATACATACAGTTGGAGCCACATTTCCACAAAACATTAAATCGCATTCTGTCCCTGTGGCCATATCCAGGGCACTCCTCCACAGCACACCTGAGCCCTCAGATGCGGTCAGGTCCAACTGCCAAAGACCAGGATGCTCTCCTTCACCTCATCTGTTGTGTAAAACCGGTTGGTTATGTGCTGTTGTTCGCCGCCTACTGGAGGTGTACCCAGTGACGTAGAAATCATTCTGGATTCCTGCCCTTTTCCTCACTCCCCCTTTTGAGTCCCTTACAATTCTGGGTGGTTCTTCTTCCGGCTACATGTGCTACACTTCTATTTCTACTGCCACCACCTTTGCCAAAGCCACCAATGCCTCCCCTAGATTACTAAAGAAAAGACCCTGTAACAGGCTTCCAGGCTTCCCTGAGTGCCCTCCACTCTGCACAAGAGCCAGACTTGTCCTTTAAAGAGAAATCAGCCATGGTGCTGCAAACCCCAAATCCCAGAACTCTGGGAGACTGAAGCAGTAAGATCATAAATTCAAGCCCAACCAGGGTAACTTAGTGATTTAGTAGGACTGTCTCAAAATTTTAAGAAGGTCTGGGGATAGAGATGAAAGCTCCTTGCCCCAGGCAGCCTAGACTGCTCCCTCTGCTTACTTCTCCCTTCCCTTGCTGTGCTCTAAACACACAGTTCTCTTTCCTGTCTCTGAAACAAGCCAAGTCCTCCCCCACATCAGGCCTTCCCTGGGCTGTCCTTTTTACCTAGAGTGCTCTTCTTCTGAAGCTGGAATCCTCATCACTCTAAGCCTCACCTTTTTGGACAGATTCCCTAATCCTCTATGAAATAGACCCCAGATCCAGCTCTCTTTCTTTCACCTGTACTCCATTGCAATAATCACAATGTATAATCATCTTGCCTATTTCCTCTGATATAGGCTCTGCCACCAGAGGCCTTTTGCCTGGCTTCTGTTCTGCTGGGTCCTCAACACCTGGCATAGTCTCAGATTCAGGGTGAGTGCTTACAAACCAATTACTGAAGGATGGCTGAGTGGAGGTCTGTCCCTGTATCCCATGTGTACCATGTGAGCAGGGACTTTCTCTGAGGCCTTGTTCATTGCTCTACTCTCAGTGCTGGCTCCACAGCTCAATAAAGAATAAACAAATGGAATGCTTTTTTTCACTACCATTAGGAAACGGCTCCGACTTTGAAGGATCTGAGAAGCCTCTCACAGATAACTAGGGACCTTATTCTGCAAATGTAGGTACAGAAGGCATTCATTCGTGTTACTGATGCGCAAGGTTAATTACCCTAACATAGCCAGGTAGAGCTCCACAGGCTTTGTTTTCCTACCAGTGTCATGAAGGTGAGAACGAGGGTTAGACAACATGACTGTATGGGTTTCTCCTAGAATCAGGCATCTCGGGCTGTTGGACACTAAAAGACTTTTGTCGCATGGGAATGAGACATGGACACTTCTCACAGAACTGCAAGTTCGAGGACGGGAATGTAGCCCAGTGATAAACACTTGAACTACCAGCTCTTCTGGTCAGGGACAGATGTTTCTCCTTGCTCCACTAATGCTGAGCCCAGCGCCTGGCAGACTCCATCAGAATCTTCTACCCAGTAAAAATGAGGATTGCCCACCTCCTTGCCTAGTTGTGCAGAAAGGTTTGATTTTCTCATAAGGTCTGAGGGTTGAGGAGCCTTTCCTAGGCCTATCATTATTGGGAAGGGGATTCTTGTTCTTCACTGGACTGGGCCTGTCCTCTGGGGAGGAGGGAAGTCCTGACAGGCGCATGTGCCTGAGGAGTGAGCGGAATGTCCCCGTCCCAGGGGCCAGCACTCTCAGCCCAGAAGAACAACGTGGCTTTCCAGGCAGCTGTGTCACCCACCCTACCCTCACCTTTGCACAAGGTTTGGTGGTGAGTCAGAGAGTTAGGAACCCAAACAAACAATCTGGGTTCAAGAGTGAGAATTTTGCTGTCTATTGTTGGCTAAAACAAAAACCATTCATCTCAGTTGCCACACAATGACCACCAGCAGAGACTTTCAAGATCATCCTGGGAAATTCCTGCCTGCACAAAACAAGTCCTAACAGGGACAGGGCCTCAGAGCGACATGGCAGCTCATGGCCCTGGCCAGTGCTCTGCTTGACCCCAGCTTACTGTCAGTGTCTGTATGGATGGCTTCCACAAAGAGGGCGTCTCCAGGATCCAAGCGCTCCTCCAGGCTGGCCCGGGTGTACTCTGGTCCCGCGGGGTCTAGGCCTGCAAGGACAGACCAGTGTAGGAACCCTCTTTCTTCACAGCTGAACCACTGTGGATCTGCCACATACCTACCCTAGGCCCTTCCAATTCAGACCAGAATTTTCCTACAAGGACCACACACTGGAAGAACTAACCCGTCTTACCAAAGAAACTTTACTCTCTTGAGGTAGCCTCTCAATGATCCAGTTTTTCTGGCTCTAAAATAAGATTGATAATGCCAACCAACCATGTGGTCAAGGCTGAGTGTAAACAATATTTACCTTCAGGGGCAATTGTGCATTATCCCATGGGGGTGTCTCTGAGAGATTCTGTAGGACAGTACTCAGAATTGCCCCCTGAAGGACTGGGAAGCTGGGGTATTTCTGTATAACCCTAGTCCTTCATTGATTGAGAGAGGTTCCTGAAGCATGAAGTCTGCACACCTTCACAGGTATGTAACAAAACTGTGTGAGCGTGATGTCCACAGTAGGTCCAACAGATATGGGCTGTTACAACCCAGCTAATATCTAAGGATGCTAGACTCAGAAAGAAGTTCATGGTACTGACATTAGAGATCAAACAATGCTAACATGATATCATTGTAGGCCAAAAGGCCATAATAAATAAATTACAATGGCAATAGATGACTCAGTAATAAGAACAAAGACTGGCTAGGGAGATAACTTGGCAGTCTAAGTGCCTGCCAGGTAAGGACAAGGACCTGGCACTCATGCTCCAGGTATGCTGTGCTGGCCACTGAAAATGGGTGTGGAGGTGCATGCCTGTAATCCCAGCACTAGGGAGGCTAAGACAGAAGGATCATTTAAAGTCCAAGATGCATAGCAAGACCCTGTACCAAATAAAATATCTTTTTTAAAAAGAAAAAGACTCAAAACACCCCCATTTATATCAAAAGAGGCATTTCCAGGGCAATCACTCTGTACTTCTAAACCCTAAGAAAAAGGAGGAATGTTACCTGTGATCCGTCCCAGTTGGCCTTCATAGAACTGTCCCACCATGCCCCCAACATGGGCTCCTAGGCTGACACCAAGGATGTGGATTGAGGACTGTGACACACCCAGCTCCTGGAATAGTATTGATAGTGACTTTCATTTAGCCACAGTGGCTTTTCCCTGGGACGTCAGAAGTTGAGAGCCCTGGGTTCAATATACCCACTAGAGAGAATTGGAATAAATGGTGCACCTCTTATCCATTAATCACTCATTCTCCCTCTAGACCCCCAACACCAATAGTCCCTTCAAAGTCTGTGAGTAATGACCAGGGCCATTACTTTTGGAGGGTCTACTAAATGCCAGTCAGCCTGCATTCACTGTGCAGTGGTGCATCTTATAGATGCAGTGTGAAACTTCCTTCAGTACCCTGCCCAAGGCCAGCACTCCAAATAGCCAACTCAGAGTTTGAGCCAAAGACTGGAGGTCTCTGTTTCAGCCTCCCATCTCCTTGGGACATACTTTTTCTTCCTGACTTGCATTCATTCACAAGTGGCCAGAAGTCACCCTAAGCTCTTCTGCACCTACCAGGAGTTTATCGAGGAAACGGGAGATCTTGAGGCTCAGCTTGACCACATTATCCACAGCTGAGAAGTAGACACCTGTAGATCCATGAACCCAGTCCACAGCAATGACATTAGCATCTGCTGCCCGTAGAAGGGCTCTAATAAATGCATCAATCCAGGAAGGCTTTGTTCCTAATGCTCTAGACATGGGTCAAAAATGCAGAGGAAAATTACCTGGCAAGCTCATATCTGTTTCCACGGAAACCTCTATTAACCTCAAATCCAACGAAATCAAAACCAAGGAGTAGGGATATAGGAAATCAATGTCAATAGTGCTATAGACACAGAGTGAACAGAAGTCCAGAGCTGCCAAGCCTTCACTAGCACTCATGGAACCTTAGAGAATTACAAGGCTGCCCTCTGCTCCCAGTAGATGCAACCACAAGCCAGCACTTAGGTTGGATTTAAGCCCTACCTACCTGCCTCAACCACCTTTGTTAGCATATACATATATAAGCTGTATGTCCCATCCTGTCTGAGTGTGTTATTTGTGGAAAGGAAACTAGTTTTGTACCTTCGAGTTAGGATTTATAGCCTTAAATCCCATTCTAGAATATAGAAAGCTCTTTCCTTAAGGCTAATCATTCATTCATGTACCCATCCATTCACTCAACAAATACTTGCTGAGTACCTATGAGCCACGCAGTATGCTAGGTGTTTTCCAAGAAATAAAAGCAAGTCAAACATAGCCCTTGTTTTGGGGAACTTACAATATAATAAAATTTTGCTAGGAAAAGAATTATAGAAATTTGGTCAGGAAGCTTTCCCAACAGATGGAGACCAGAAAAGGAGTTTGTCCAGTAACCCCCACAATAAGAATAATGTGAGCCTGTGCACCTGGCCAGAGAGGAGTAGATTGGGTGTGCACCATGGAATGTGCTTTTGGGGGATTTAGTAGTAGATCAAGTAACAAGCCTGATGAGCTTCCGAGCTGCTATCCCCAGTTGGGGGTACACATGCAGCTGTGTGCAGTTGAATTTAACATGGTTGAATGTAAGAGTTATAGAGACAGAAAGAGGCCAAAGATCAGGACCCGGCAGACTCTGGGCAGCTCTGTGGCCTCTTCCATAACTCTGACTGTTGTATTGTGCTGTGATTCTGGCAAAGTTACATCCCCTCTTCCCAGAAGTCTTCCTCTGTTTCTTTTGTCTTGTTTGGGGGATAAACATTTGAAGGAAAGATGGTGACTGAAATGAAATGTAGTGACTATATACTGTAACAAATTTTGCAATGTAGAGTATCAGAAATTGCAGAAGAGGCATGCCTTGCTCCTGAGAAATGTTTGTCTCTGAGTCTGATGGGAGTAGCTTCCTAAATAGAAATTTATCAGGTTATAAAACCAGGGAAAAAAGGAAAAGGAGGAAATAAAATGCTGTGTGAAAGCATGCTGCTTCTTCTGAGTAACTGCAAAAAGCCTGTGATGATGGCATCTGGAATGAGTCGCCTCATGGAACCACCCACCCTGGTATCTGTATTGGTTCTTGCCCATTGTTGGGTGCAATGCCCAGCACCCACAAGATGTTTACTTATTTGTGCACAGTTTCAGTCCATGATTGGCTGGTTCTGAGGCAAAAATGTCATGGTGGAAGGATAGGGAGGAGCAAACCTGGTCATTTCATGATGGGCAAGAATTAGAGCAGAGGACAGTGACAACAGATAAGGGCCCTGGACCCAAGATAGACCCCAAGGCCATGCCTCCCAGGCCCAAACATTGAGAAGTGCGCTCTACCAATCCCTAGCATGGATCCCAAAGCCAATCAAGTTGAAATTCCACTCTACCCACCACAGTGCTTTTACCCAGGGACCACCAGCCCATCCTCCAACGCCCTCTTTAGCTCAGAAACGGGAACTGAAGATCCATGTTTGTCATGATTTATCCAGGGTCCTACATGTGTCCTGTGTGCAAGTATGTAGACAAGACTAAGCGGAGGAGTAACACAAATGACAGACAAAGATGAACAACATAATGTGTGTCCAGGATTACACAAGACACCTTCAGGACAGCAGGCCCTGAGGGCTGGGACATGTGACAGTCAGTACATCTGTTCCTCCTCTTCCTCTCCACTCACTTCCTGTGGCTTTATGAGCCCTACCTACACGGTTGTTAGTAGAGGAGGTCCTATTGGCTGGTTAGCTCCCACCTGAATCCATGAATAATTAACTTGGTTCCTAGAGTGGCATTGAATCCAGAGTTTTGGATGTCACTGCTTTCTTCCAGTAGCTGCCCACAGCCTGGATCTGAAGGCACAAAGAGGAGATACTGGACTCTCAGGCTGGTACCTCGGAGGAGGTTGGCACTCTGGAAGTCAGTGCATGTTGACTGGGAGGTAGAAGGTGCATCTCCTAGAGGAAAACAACAGCAACAACAAAATCATTCAGAAAGAGGACATCTATTTTAAGAAGGAAGAAAGAAACAGTGGCTTACAGGTGTGGGATTTATTAGAAATTGGCTGGTGCAGTGACGGTGAGCCTTTCAGAGACGAGCACCCAAACTACAACCCAAAACCCACTTATTTATCACAAAGTGCCGACACTGAAATTGAACCTGAAAATGGAGCTTTTATTTAATTTATTTATTTATTTTGTATTTTAGGGAAGGATCTACAGGGTGTTCAGGGTCTCACTACTAGGTTGGACTCACAGTGATCCACCTGTTTAGAGCCTCCTGAGCTTTTAGTTTAGAAAGACAACTCGTACGTCAACAATTTTGGTCTTAAAAGAAAAATAAATAATATTCGTGCCATAAGTGTGAACTAGTGTAGTCATCATTTACTCATTTGTTAAAGGTTCTATTACAAAAATAATGTGTTTTTTATGCCTAAGGATAAAATACCAGAGGACAATATGGATACTGCTCACCTGGAGGAGGCTAAAGGCCGCGCTGCGGGAGCTATTGTCTGGAGCTGAATGGAGTGCGTCTGCAAAGAGGGTCTTCAAAGGTAATTAAGTTAAAATGAAGCCAGTAATGTGGCCCTAATCCAATATGGCTAGTGTCCTTATAAAAGGAGAAAATCTGAACAGGCTCAAAGAAGGACTATGTGAAGAGTCATGGGAAGAGCTACAGAGAAGCCTGGGACAGGCCTTGCGCTCATGGCCCTCAGGACATAGTTCTGCTAAGGAGGCTTCTTCCTTAGCATCCAGGCCCCAGAACCATGATATACTAGATTTCTGATGTTTAAGCCGCCTCGTGTGCAGCACTGTGTAATGGCAGTAAAAACGTAATTCTTAAAAAGAATTCTATGCAACCAAGCAAGCAGTTGTTCTGGTCTGAAGAGCCTGCCCAAGGTTTTGAACCTGCTTCTCCACCCTGATCTCCACCTTGTCTTTCCCAAGGGCCACCCCAAGGCCAAGTGCCCCTCCATTGGCTGCCTAGCCCTTGGGTAGAAGAAGCCTTAGCAAGCTATACCTGCCCTGTAGCATTTGACAACATACATACAGTGCACCCTTAAAATGGATTTTTATTTATTTATTTTGCCACTAAAGAGCCTTCTAAAATAACAGAAAAATAAGCAAATAAAAGTTCCTTCCCCTCTAGTCCCACATGATGTGCTGGCCCTACCCTTGTGGTGTGCTGAGCCAGAGATGAGTACAGGCATGGCAGTGGATGTCTGTAATCTCAGTCCTGGGGAGGCTGAACACAGGAGGATCACTATGAGTATGAGCTGTGTAGTGAGACCCTGTACTAAATACATAAATGGAAAAAAAGTAGTTCCTTCCCCAGAAGCTAAAAATCTGGCCCAATTCAATACCCAGCATCTATCCTCATGTCCACTTCTGAGATAAAGAAGTGTGGAGTTCCTGCCTCACAGGGCTTCCTCCAGGGAGAGACTGGCAGAAGCAGCAAGCACAGCCCAGCCACAGCACTGCTGGCAGCTCCCTGGCATCGCTGGCATGCAACAAAGTGAATCACCCAACCAGTCATGCAGAGGAGAGGTCCAGGCCAGACTTTGTTCTGTGCAGGCCCCTTCACTGAGGTTGATAACAATTTTAGTTTCTGCCATCTTAATCTGCTAGCAGAGATATCGGGGGAGCATATATGCAACATGGATGTGGATCCAGCTACCCTGGGATCGGGGGAATGGATGGATTATGGGAGCCCAGCCCAGAGAGAATGTCTCATGTCATAAGACCTTCTGGAAGTTCACTGTTATCACTGCCTCTGAACCCCAGTCCTTGTCCCCAACCCCTAGCACAGGCCTTCTAAGCAGCCAGGTCTAGGACACTCCTGGGGTCAAGCCCGTTCTAAGTACAGGCTCCTTGAGCTCCTCAGCTTATAACTTGAGCTCCTTGGTGTATGAGAAAGATGCCTGCCTGTACCGTTCCACCTACCCTCTCTAGCCTTTGCTTTTAAATAAAGGATGAAAGATCTCTGGCTGAACATGAGATCTGAATCACATAAATTAGACCATACACCATTCACCTCCTTCCACTCTGAACTTCTGCCCTGAGAAGCGACTTGTTGCTCCCACACACACCCCTCTGTAACGTGTTACAGAAAGGGGAGGCCAAGCCAATGAGGCTACAGGCTCCAACAGATGCCAAAGAATCAGTATTATCTCAATTTTATACTTTAAAATGTAATAATATTAGAAACCAATAACAGGGATTGTTTATAAATATATTTGGAAATGTATAAGCATTCCTTTAAAAATGCATAGGAGCAGGATGGACACACTCCTACAATCCCAGCACTCATGAGGCCGAGGCAGGAGGATTATAGATGTTTGAGACCAGCCTGGGCTACAGGATGAGCTAAAGGCCAGCCTGGGCTGCACAGTGAGACCTTATCTCAAATACCTGCTCCCCCACAAAAAATGTGGGGTTTTAAAGAATGATCACAACATAAACAATTTTAAAAACTAAGTGACAATTAGGACAATATTCATCAATGTTTGTATAATGTGGCTAATGACACTTATAATATTAAAATGATTTTTTGGAAGTCTGTTGAAAAGTTAAATGATTAGACTGAGATGGTTCCAGTGCTTGAGTTCCTACCTGAGCAAACCAAAAGCCTGCTCACAGAGAACAGCTACACACTAGGGAAAGGAAACTTCCCACTTTTTTTTTTTTTTTTCCAGACCGGGGATTGAACTCAAGACCTTGCATTTGCCAGGCAGGCGCTTATGCCACTGAGCTATCTCCCCAGCCTAGCAAAAGGAAACTTAAGCTTTGCCAATCAGCAGTTGCCAGGCAGTCTCTAACCAGGAACACACGACTGCCGCACTAGTGTCATCATGAATCGAATGACTCATACACACCTTGCTCCGTGCACACCTCACATCTCCTTGGCAAAGTCTGGGACCACTGTAGGAGCTGCCCAATTCATGAGTTACTGTTTTAAAAGCCTGATAACAGGGGAAGTATATAAGCATGGAAAGCAAATATTAGAGGAAAAGGGAAAAGATTCAGGTTAGGTAGATTAATCTTTTAACTCAGAAGAGAATAGCATGGACTGTGCGTCATGGTGCACACTTGTAATCCCAGCTACTCAGCAGACTGAGGCAGGAGGATTACAAGCTCCAAGCCAGCCTGGTAACTTAGCAGGACCCTGTCTCTAACTGAAAAATAAAAAATGGGCTAGGGATGTAGCTCAGTGGGCAGAGGAGCATCTGACGATAGACTACAGGAGTGTTCTGCTTCATCCTCCTTTGCTTACTCTGTCCCGCCAGGTGCCCCTGCTCATCCTCATTTGCTCTTGAACTCTTCCCCAAACACACTTTTTGCCTGCAATGTTTTCCCTCAGTGTCTACATGGGGAATCCCCTCCCCTCCTTGGCATCTGCTTGGCAAGTGCTGCTTCCTCTACTGTCACCACCCTGTTTAAATTGAAACTTGTTTACCCGCATCACTCTAGTTCTCCCCATCTTTCTTGCCTCTATCTATGAACTTGTGTAGAAATCATCACTCTCTATAACCTACTAAGGACTTTACTACTTATACTGAGTGTTGTCGATTCTAGTCCCAGTAGAAGACACTTTCAAACAAGGCAAGGAATTTATCCATTCTGGCGAATCTACTGCTTAGAATTGTGCCTACCACATATAATGAACTCCAAAAGCTAGTTCCCTCTAAACAGGAATAAACTAGATGCACTTTTGATAAGACAACCAAAGAACAAAAAAGACTCACAAGCAAACAATACCAGAAATGAAAAGAGAAAAACAAAAAAAGAAATGAAAAGAGGCTATAATAGGTACAGCAGATTTTTTTCAAGCTGTAAAAGAATATGTGTACATCTACTCAAAAGTTGGAAATATAGATATTTTTCTAAAGATGATAATTTCCTAGAAAAGAAAAACCTACAAAAACTTAGTTAAGAAAAGGAGAAACTTAAAAATCATGTAATGCAATAGCACAAAGGGTTTAAAATTGTAGTTTTATATCTACCCATCCATGAAAAAACTCAATGGTTTAGACAGTCTAATAGAGAAGTTCTACTAACCCTTCAATCCCCAATCTACACTTCTTATAGAGAACAGAAAACAGGAAACAAACCCCAACTTATCCTATGAGGATAATCAAAATATAAAACCTACGTAAAATATCACCAAATATAAATCCACTAGGATAACAAGAGCAAAGCATATAAAAACATACCAAGGTTGAGCAGTTTAATCCATGAATAAAAGGATTTTTTACATTCAAAAACATTTTATTTTATTTATTTATTTAGTATTCTAGGGAAGGGTCTACAGGGTGTTCAGGGTCTCACTACTAGATTGAACTCATAGTGATCTGCCTGTTTACAGCCTCCTAAGAGCTGGGATTACAGGCATGTGCCACCACACTCAGTCTCAATTGCCATCTCAGTGCGCCCCCAGGGCAGGGCTAGCACTGCAGGCCCGGGGATCAATTCCCTGACCCCTGCACCTGCTTGCAGGCGCTTTAATCCACTGAACTATTTGGCCTGCCCTCAAAAACATTTTAAAATAAAAAATCATATGTTTATTTCCACCGATGCAATTTATTTAAAACTGGAAATAAGCCTGTTATTATTGTTTCTGTTAAATATTATATTAAGGTCTTAGTCCTAGCCAGTGAAACAATACAACAAAATGCAATAAAGTTATAGAATTTGACAAGCAAGAGAAAAACATTTCCACTTGCTCATTCACCAGGGCAGGCCCTGCTGCACTGAGCCATGCTCTGGCACTGCTCCCCTGAGCATCCCTCCAGCCAAGGAACCAGGAGATGCAGGTATCATAGAGAAAGAAGAAAGCCCGTGTATCATGGTACTTGCCTGTAATCTCTACGCTGGGAGAAACTGAAGCAGCAGGAGCCCAAGCGCAAGCCCAACTGAGTGATTTAGTAAAATTCTGTCTCAAAAGAGATTAATTAAAA